ATCAGAGCTAGATAAGATTTTAACAACTCTGAGATATTAGCTAAGTTCTCCCCAAACGAGCTTGATGGGCCGAATGGCCTCCTCTCGTTTGTAAATTTCTTATGTTCTTATGTTCTTATGTTCTTATGTTCTTATTAAATCGTATTCAGTTTCCAAGAAATTAGTACATTTTACTGCTTTTTTTAATTGGTTGAAAAATATGTCTTCTGGTAGGTAAAAGTAACTTTACCTCATACTGTGAATAAGTATGTACACAAATTTCAGATTTTCAGCAAAAGAAAACTGTGGTGGAAAATAGTGGTTAATCTTTTGTAGCTCTTTTCAGGAGAGCACATTGGCTATTCCTTTACATTAAAATGTGCAGCATCAGTATGTTTATATTATGAATATACTGTATATAGTGACTAACCTAGTTTGTCTCGTCTACACATGTAGTGTATGTAATGTGCATGCTGTCTTCTCCCTCTGCAGTGCCTGCATATTGTATATGCAGTGGTTAAAAGAGCACTATTTTCTATCCTTGCAGTGCCTGTACATTGTGTATACAGTGATTAAAACAGCTCTATGCTCTCTCCTTGCAGTACCTGTACAGTGTGCTTATAGTGGTTAAAAGAGCTCTATCCTCTCTCCCTACAGTGCCTGTACAGTGTGTATGTAGTTGTCAAAACGGCTCTATCCCCTGTCCTTGCAATGCATGTACAGTGTGTGTCCAGTGGTCAAAACGGCTCTATCCCCTGTCCCTGAGACGCCTGTACAGTGTGCATGCAGTGGTTAAAATGACTATATCCTCTCTCGCTGCAGTGCGTGTACAGTGTGTATGCAGTGGTTTAAATGGCTCTATCCTCTGTCCCTGCAGTCCCTGTATACAGTGTGCATGCAGTGGTTATAATGGCTCTATACTCTGTCAGTACAGTACCCGTACAGTGTGTTAACACAACTCTATCTCCCTACAGTGTACTTTGCAGCCCTGATCCTTTCTCTCAGCCAGCAGATGACCAGTGACCGAATCAATCTCTACAACTCTGGCAATGGGACGTTGTGGTATACAAGCTTTTGTCTCTAATTTCTCCAGATTGTCTACTTCACCCATTTGTGTTCTACATTATCCAGACCAGTCCTGAATCTTAAGCGTAGCACAACAGCAAAAACACAAGTAGACTAACAGCAGTGAATTTTTTTTATAATATTCATGCAATTGCAATGATAGCCATTTAAAAAAAAAAAAAACACTTTCTCTGGAAAAAGGTGTGGATTATGTTCTGGGAACTGAGCCTTATAGCTGTGGATACAGAGTTCCCTGGGTTTCCATGCAAACGATGTTCCTCCCAGGCCCACAGGCTCAGAGCAAAGGTTCCTGCAGAACTGGATTGTGGTGAACCTAGTGGTGGCAGTATTGGTGGGACTGGCCTGGGCGTTCCTCTCTACACGACCTGAGTTGGATTACACTGAGGGTAAGAACAGAAGTGAAAAGCAGGCATGTTAATCAATAGACTAGCAATGATCTATAACAGTAAAACTGTTATAAAAGTAGCAATACTAGTTTTATAAGGAACATTTAAGATGGTTTTTATCCTGTCAGGAGAGGTTACGGTGCTATGGAAAGCTAACAAATGTTCCCTCCTCAGAATTCTTAAGGACAATGGATGTGGATGAGGTGCCACATAAAGAGAAGAAGCTGGAAATCCCAGCCTGACAGAGAGACCTGCCATTGCTTGTTTATTACACATTTTATGTACAATTTATATCTTTATATGTCTTTATATATTAGTTTTGCCCAGACTACTCAATGATTGAAGATGCTTTTATTATGTAAGGTACTGTGTATTTATAAATGTTTACTTTTATTCTGCTCAGTTTTAAAAATATACTATTACACACATTTAACCAATTAGTAGGACCTTTCTCAGAGCAAGGAGTGATATTCAAAGTCCAAATGACTTTTGAAACACTTCACTTGACTCATGAAATGGTACTGTGTAACAATAATGTTTAAAGTTTCAAAAACCTTACTTCTTTTCTGGAATGGTCATCATGCTCCTCATCATAAGTGTAGATTTCAGGTCCAGAGAGTACAAATCCAGAGCAAGATTTTCTTTCAACCAACCAGTTGAGTAGAAATAGTCGCAGTCACGGAGTACTCAACTGGTTGGTTGAAACAAAATCTTGCTCTGGATTTGTACTCTCTGGACCTGAAATCTACACCTTTGCTCTTCATTCATAAGGCAAATATAACAATTTCTACATTTGTTTATAAAAACCTTGTCTTTTTAAGTTTGGTAACACTTTACTTAAAGCAGTCATTTAAATGCATTATACATACCCACATAATGCATTGTAATGCATTCATAAAATATGATAAACATAGCTATAAATATATATAAAGGCATAACACATTATAGCCATGTTCAATATGCATTATGAATGCTCTCAGATATAATGCACTATAAATACCTTCATAATGCATTATACTGACCATTATAATGCATTATGAAGGTATTTATAGTGCATTATATCTGAGAGCATTCATAATGCATATTGAACATGGCTATAATGTTATGGCTTTCTATAGATATTTATAGCTGTGCTTATAATACTTTATGAATGCATTACAATGCATTGTGAGGGCATGTATAATGCATTTAGATGACTGCTTTAAGTAAAGTGTTGCCATTATTATTTTTTTTAACCGGCAAGCCAACACATTTGTATATTACTCAGAGTCTTATATACTTATTTGCCTAAAATGTATGTCCTGGATGGCAAGCAATTGGAAATAACCTTGACTAGCAGATATGGTAGAGATTGTGAAATTGTTACAAGGCCTTGTCTCGAAGATAATGTAATTCTGATGAAACACGTAATTATAATGGAGATAACTTGGGCTCAATCATTGCATTTAAAGCTGAAATGGAGGCAGCTTGTGTGGTTGGTAGTGTCAAATCAAGATGTGAAATTGCCTGGTCATTGCCAAATCGGTCTGGCTCTTTAAAGAAACATCTGTAATTCAAATTCATTTTTTACAGCTGTTCACAGAGTAACATACTAGTTATAGTTTACATTATAGACTATTAAACAAGTAATAAAACGCTAGTTTTATGAATTTTACCAGGACGTTTTATAGTGATATGAGTACATATTCTGTTGTGGTACAAGTCAGCTCGAAAATGAAGCAACCCCAAACTTGAATCAGCATTTAGTAAAAGAAAATGTATAGGAAACAACCTCTCTCCATCCAGAACGTGCTTTGGGCAGAATGACCAGCTGCAGGCCCAGCGCTAGTGCTTAACTGAGTGTGTCACGCTCTCTTCCCCCAGCTAGATAGTTGACTTAATTTTGTGTCTATGTCAAGTTTGTCAATTTTCACCAGCCGTGAAATTGTATTTCAACTTCCACTTTAGTTCAACTGTGAACTGATTATTGTGTAAATAATGCTGAGCTGTAATTAATTGACATGGAAGGGGCCTGCCATTAAAATGTGAAATGTTTTTACAGATTTATACAAAGTTTGGTGCAGTTCACTGAGTTGGCATGGCAGAAGTCGAGAAAGCTAAGCATTAATGAATCCTTAATTAAATTAGCTAGTTTTAATTGCAGTTGAAACTTCTATTACAGGTGAGGCCATGCTGCTTCTGCAGGAGGTAGACAGGCCCTTATATGGTTGACATGAAGGAATGAAGTTTATTTGGGTTTTTTATTGGGTTTTCCATATATTTAAAATTATTCCACTTTGTGATAATTCTGGTGGAAGAAGTAACATGGGGATAAGAACATCCTTGGACATCCTTCTGGAACTCAATGACTGGAGACGGCTCTGGGTCCTTGCTACTGTGCACTATCAACTCTAGCAGCAATACAAACCAGAAAACAACCTTTTCTATTAATTCATACAATAGAAACAAGAAGTACTTTTGGTCATGGCAACTTTATACACTTTTAAATGCCTTTATTCTGGCAACAGGTGAGGACTAGATTTGTTATATTGACGTGAAAATCACGTCAGTCATGAACTTTCATGTTGCAAAATATAACTTCAATGTCGAAATTTCTGAATCCTTATTCTATCAGTATCTCAAGTCTTTGAGTCATTTATGAGAATTGATAGGTCGCCCAGGTTTATAGGTTCAAGTTTGTGTTAAGTTTAATTTTTCCTCATATTTCTGTGGATTTCCTGTCACAGATCGTGTTCAGGTGATTTGAAATTTCTGGCTATAGACTGAACGTCGGTTCTGGGATAGACCCCAAGCTCACTCCAACCGTGCATTGAATAAATAATTTTGCTTGAGCCAAAGATTTTGTGGCTGAAGGCTGAAAACCGACTAAAAACATTGTACATTTCTATATACGTAATAATGTTCGCACAATACGGATTGTTGTCAATGGAAAAGCGGCTAATACTTTGAGCATGTCTGATCTGCCTTGCTGTACCTCCACGGTTCAGAGACTGGATTACGATACAGCAAACATAAACATTATATTCTTTTCTTTAACTCCAAAATGATCAAATCGACAAAACCGTAACGCGCAAGTAAGCAGAGTTAGGGCACCGGGAAGACGGTCACCCCCAAAGCCCATTACGTAATGGCAGGTTATCAGCTGGGTAGGACTCCCACTACAAACAGGAGAGGAAGTAGCATTCCCAGCGCTTCCTGTCTGTGAGCGCTCCTGCATCAGGGTGTCAAAAAGATGTAAAGATGGCGGAGCTGCAGATGCTCTTGGAAGAGGAGATTCCAGCAGGTCGAAGAGCTCTATTGGACAGTTTCACCAACCTCGAAAGAGTCGCCGAGTATTGCGAAAACAATTACATTCAGGTGAGGAGCGGCGGCTGCCGCTGACTGCGGGTGTTGGCGCGGCGCGAAGCGGCTCATTCTGCGGCGGACGGAGCGCTGCTCTCTGCTGCTGGCTTCCCCTTCTCACCGCGGCGATATGTGCTCTGCTGCCGCCGCCTACCCTGTCCTGGAAATTGCATTTGATTTTAGCCCATTAACTTTATCGTAGTGAAATTACGGTCTGGGACGCTCCCCACCTGCTTCTCGTTTGTTAGGCATGTGGGTGAAGCATTTGTAACGGGTAGAAGCTGCTGGAAAATATTATTGGGGTGTCACTCGATCACCCCCGAAGTCACTATTTTTTTTTTAAACTGGAGTTATCGATTTCGTAGCTGCTTTGTAGCTAACCTTATCCAGTTTCTCACCAGCGCGTTTGTTTATAGGTCTATTAGATATACATCAAAATAGTTCACTTGTCGGTTGATTTAAAGAGTAAATGGACTGATTACATGTTAAACCCTGATATTATCATCACTTCTTAGGGAAGTAACACGGAAGGTATCCTACTTATAGCTAAGATAGATGGTGTGAAGTAATCAGCGATCTTAACGTTTTCCCCGAGCACAAACGGGCTCGCTTTTGATTTTCATTTATAGGGAGCCAAATTATACATCGCAGTGTCGTTCAATTCGTTGAAGTTGGGTCATTTAGTATGTTCTTTGATGCAACATTTACGAGACACATCCCCGTGTAGACCCAATTAAAATAATGTTGTTATGCAACATTTTCGAATCATAGCTCGACCATATTCAATGTATTTCCCGGGTAAAACCTCGGCGGAGTGTGATAGCTGTGTAGATACGATGCCTTGAAGATGATTTTGGGGAGGCTGTATCCAGATACCCAGAGTTTGATATGAGTCGTTCAGTGCTTTGGTTTTGCTAATCAATTACTCAACTTAATTTTTACATGTGGAAAAAAAAATCACAATTAAACTCCTTTTATGACCCGAGTTCAGGGTTCAAATTAACGGGATGAATTTTGTGCTTTACTGCGAGATCGCTTTGACTGTATCAGTGTATGTGTAGTTAAATGGAAATCTTAGCAATCTTCGCTGTGATGTGATGCCTGTCATACTCGGCATGGTTTTACTGGGGTGGAAATAGTTCAGTTATGCGGTTTACGCGCTATATACCCTTTGCAGATATTCAATGTATGTGAAAAATACGAAGTACCCCTAAGTGCGTAGTCCGAAATGGATGACGTAGCGGTTACTATTAGCAGTAAATGGTCGTCATAGTGATTCGGAGTATTTGTGACGTAACAGACAGCGCGACTTTGAGTAAGAATGGTGTAGCGATTCAGGTAAAATGGATCTTTAGATGCTGACCCTTTTTCTGTTTAGTTAGGAAATCCTTTAAGGCAAGTATTGATCCATTTTCGAAGGCGGTTGAAATCTTGTAAACAGTATCTTTATGAAGCGCTGTCCAGTTATGACAGCCCGTCGTTTTTGTTCTGGAATAGCACAGGTTACTGTGATTGCTGTTGCTTTCCTGCTCAGTTTTGAAGCTGTCTGGATTTTCTATTTGCATTCACTAGCTAAGCATATTGTTATTGGTATGTGTGGTGATCTTTTGAAAGCCAGAGAGCCTTTTTTCTGAACCATCTCTGGTTGTTGAATAGCTTAGCTCTGTCTAATCAGCTAGGGACCACATGCAGTTGAACTGATGTCTCCGTGTCTTCCAAAATTGTAGCATGGTTTAAATATGTGACCCCATCTGTAGGTCCAATCATTTTGTTTTGGAAATAAGGATCAAGAGGCTGATTAGGTGCTGTTTTGTTTGTTCAGAGTATGATTTTAGAAAACTGGCCTTTAATGTGATATATCTGTTGTATTATTTTTTAAGTTCTTATTGGTGCAGAACAAATTCATCTTTTGTGCATATTTCTGATTCAATCTATTTTGTTGTACTTTTGTATGTTTAGCTTCTGTTTCATTTTCCCCTCATCACTTCCAAGCAGTCTGATAATGAACTCGCCTAAATAGTCGAAACGTCTTTTTTCTTATGTCATATGTTTGCTTAAATGCAACCGCCACAGGATTAGTGCCTTTTGGTCAGGATTAGCACGCATTTCAGTTTTGTTTAGTAATTGTATTTAATTTCTGGCGACTCTTATTCACCTAAACATTTACACACCAACAGTAAAGGGGCATATTTTGCGTTGTCCACTAAAATTCTTATATATGGAAGTTGGTCTGTTAGTTTTCCGTTGTCTCATTAAAAGTTTTCCACTTGTTATGGGGGAAATTTTGCTGTGTACAGCCATCTGAGTGGTGTGACTGGTGGGGAAGATACTCTACATGTTACTGGGTGGTGGGGTGGGGGAGTAGCTGTGCTTTCGCACAGACTGTGCAGCCCACACAGAGTCTGCCGTGGACAGATGCATCTACCATGTGAAAGCGGCATTGTGGGTACCGACACATGCTGATCTCCCTCTGCCACCCACAGAGGCAGGCTGCAGGGGACCCC